CCCGCAGGTGGCCCCCGCCCAATCCCGCCCGCGAAGCACGGCAGTTGGGCCCATGCATAATGCGCTCTGGCCCCATCCGTGGTGTCCGCACGCCAAGTTCGGATATTTTTCGCAAGAAAGCGTCAGTTTGGGAACATTTGAATTCAACATTCCTTTTCTCATATTTCATTCATTATTTTATTCTCTTTTTTATTTTCAACAAATGGCGTCTCACATTCTTTCTGGAAGTAGGTAGGTGGTTAGATAGCATAGAACAGAGCTCACCACGTTTTCGATGTCTGGAGCCAAGGACAGTTCCTCCTGGCGCTCAGCGGAAGACGGAGACCCAGCGGGAGCGCTAAGAAAAATTAAAAAGACAAATTCATAAGTATGAGAAATTCATCGGTCAGTCCACGCTGCCGCTACTCGCATAGCAGTGTTGCGTACCTGACAACATCCATACAAGTCTAATCGTTCAGACGCAAAATATCAATTCTGTATGCTTTCGGTTGGTTAATGAACAAATAAATATGTATTTATTGATGGTGAGGCTCATGCCACTTCCTGCTATTCTGCCTGATCACTTTCAAAAGTTGAATACGGTTCATAATAAATAAATAATTCAAAGAAAATACGTACGCAATTAGGGGGAAACGGGTGTGACCTGAGTGAAGCGAGTGAGGAGTGGATTCATAAAAAAGAACATTCTCACAGCATTTGTGTGAGTATATTTGTTAACTCCAAGTTAGAAATTAATTTTAAAATTTATCTCAAATATATCTAGTGATTACATTTGAATACTCTTCGATATTTTACCCCAAAATATGGAAATTATGTTTGGATATCTCAGCAATTGAGGAGTGGAGGAGGATTGCAAATAAGGCGTTTACCTCAGCTACACCATATCTTAAAAAAGGAAGGGAATTTGGAAAAGCTTAACTAAGGCATATGTATTTTTGAATTACTTCTAACAAAATAAGAAAGGAGGGCATCTCGTTAGCTTACAAACGAAAGCACATGAAGTCAAACGTTTAAGCTTTAAGAGAAATGTAATTCAATGAAAAATAATGGTAAATGATTTAAGTCATTTTCGTAATAATAATAATAATAATAATAATAATAATAATAATAATAATAATAATATCAGTAATAAGAAGATTGAAAATAGCAGACGCAATCATTTAAGTCAGGAAATTTTTCCTCCAATTAAAGTAATCCCAAAGTTTGAAAACGTTGCCTAACGTTTCTCACCAGTAAGCCAACGATTTATTATCTTTCTTTTACTCCTGGGATTACCAGCAAAGGGGACCATTCCGACATACTCCTTAAGTGACCGAGTAATCCAAGTTAAACCTCAGTCAAGACGGCCATATCAAATATTCTGCAAAAAACACAAGAGAACAAAGCCCGTTATAAATACAAAGGAAAAATAGACATATTTCCAATTTAATATTCTGTCTTATCACATGGCGAGGATTGTAAGAATACCGAATTGACACAGAAAGGTTTGCAAATTAGTGAACATGACAAAATTAGAAAACATGGCTAACTGAAACAAACAGGTAGTACCTCTGCTTAAAAAAATATACGGAGCAAGTGTGACGTAGTGAAATGAGAAAATAAATTCA